TGGTTGGATTATTCGAACGTCAAACACCATTAATATATTCTTTGATATCATTCTTCATGCGATTATCTTTTATTCGATCCTCTTCCTTTCTTGTCTACATTTAAAACAAACATTTACAATCAATTAATAAATGTATTACCACTAAAAAAACTCTTCTTTCTGAAAGACAATACAGAATTTCACTCGCTTTCTAAATAAAATATTGAGGTAGTCCCCATCCATTGATGAAATCACGCATCAGAATAGCGGTTGTGACTTGAATATTTTAATAATACGCGATATTAACCTGGATTGTGGGGAGCATACGTCATATTGGCACGTATTTTATGTTTCCAGAACTTTCCGACGAAATTTTGATCGGTTAAAACATGAACGTTGTTATTATCAGGTTGAAAGTCTACTTTGGCATAATTGCTGATAGTTTAGATTAGAGTAACTATATATCCTTTAAACTCTAGTAATTGGAGATAATCGTTTTCTGAATTGTCTGCTGAATTTTGATTTAGTTGAAGAGCTTCAAATGGTTGATCAATTAGTAGGGAAGTTTCTCAGTTTAACATTACCTTCTGTCTTCTATTCCTTTCTTAGATTTGGACTGATACATGCCAATTAAATTGATTTGAATATCCCATAACTCCTTATAGAACTCTAGATAACTCTTTCATAGGAGTAGGTCAATCTCACGTGGCATAGACTTTGGTACGCCAATTGCTACGATTCTTACATACCTCTTTCGTTTCCTCAACAGTCATTAGTATTTTCATGCATGCTCGTCGGTTAAGGGTACTTTTAATTTTGCCCTTCTATAATATATCGTAAATCTGGTCGATATACAAGGCTTAATCAGAGTATTTCTTTAATCATACCATTATTGACGAGGATTTGTGCTTGAATATTTTATGTGGTCTGTCGTTAGACAGCATACTTTAAGGAAGACTTGCCTTCGTAAGTTACAAGGCTTATCCTTTTTGATATCTGTTATCTCTAACTCATACGTAGATAACTATAAAACGTATAGAGCCCAATTCATTGCACTCAATTGTTTTTGGGCACTTAGTCCGCATCATAACCGTTGTTTAAATTTTAATTTAATCAATTATAAGCTTTGTATGCAAATTTTGATTTAAAAAGTATATGCAAATATAAACAAGCCAAAATAATACGTATCCACTATGACGATGTACCTAATCTGAACCGCAGTGAGCCATAAATGTTGTGATTTATTTTCCTTATTAATTGTTTCTTCGAAAGAATAAAGTGTGAACATTGAAGTTTGAATATCTACTACAATGTTTGTGTCAATAAATGTATAATTTTATCATTCCAATCTTACTTTACGCGTAGAGACCCCAACAATCTGAAGAAGCTTGTGGTCGCTGACCTACCCGGTTGTTAGATGCTGTAAAAAACCTCACCGGCCTGACAGTTCCATAAACCATAAACACCGCAGAGGACAGAGGCGTTTAGAGGAGGGTTGTGCATCAAGTGACGCCTGCACCAGACTAGACACGACCTTCAGTAATGAAGAGAACGACTCAGAAGAAGATCTCACTTAGATATTTACAATTTCTAAGAGTCCTGTTTTATACATAAGGTAGCTATGGTCATCTGACCTAAACTTTTGCACTGCTCAGGTGGCGCCTCTACCTCTATTCGTATTCATAATAATATCCTATTCATAATTACGTAATAACTATTATTTATGTAGGAATTATTATAGCATAAGATAACATAAACATGAAAACCAGCCTGAACAGTAACACTATGCTAAATAATGGTTACCCAGTGCCGTTAAAAGGAACCTAATTATACCCAAACCAGACATTTCATTCTAATTTTTACACCGACGTGTCTATTCTGGCAGCCCAATTTAATTTTCACAAACTATAATTAGACTTTAATAAATTACGAGTCTATTTTACTAGTTCAACAAGGGAGTACCGCTACCCAATTGGATTTAAAACCCTTTTTGCCTCGCCAAAGCCGGGGGCTATTAAATAAAGACTTCTATGTGCTAATTAACATCTAAAGCTAGAGTCATTTGTACTGAATTGTCGAAAAAGTTTCGCACTGTTCATGGCAGCCTTTATTTACTGGGAAATGCTGACAAAGCATAAACTAACTTTTGTGCTGTTAATAAGACCATAATGGGATCTTAAACGGTGAAGGTGGTGTTATATTCCGCGGTATCAAGGTATAATGGATTTGGGATTACTTAATCATCAACAGCCTGTAAGTGCTCACTGCTGAGTAAAGCCTCTTTACTCACGAAGAAGGTTTGAGCATTATTCACCACGCTTGCTCATTGCGGGTTGGCGATTTCAAACTTATAATTAGAAATTAAAGTTCATATAGGTTGGAAATAGTTACATTAGTACTTGCCGTTGGTAGGTATCGAAACATGAGAAGCGAGCGTCTTAAAATGCGGGCGCCACCACAGCGCATAGTGTGAATACTTATTTATCTTGTTTTAACATTTTGTATTTTTTTTTATTAAGGGACCTCTAGTCTTTCTTCAAATGTCGAAAGAGACACATACAAGAAATACACTCCATAAACTAAAAACCAGTACAATTCCATTTACCGATCGCATTTACCTTCTTACTTTGAACATCAATTCCAATTCAATACATTTTACGTCAATAGTCCCTACAGTGTCATGAAAACGCCACCCCTAGATCAATAAAGCTCAATGCATAAATTCAATAGGAAATGCACCACCCTGAACCCATTGAATGTGTCAGCTAAGAGAATATTTTACGCTTCTGAGTTTTCATTGCGATTTTTGCTGATGTTTTTAGTGTAACAAACATGTTCTAACCATTCTGTTTGTCACATTTATATAATGGAGCCCTTTAGATAGCTCTATGCATATTTTGCCAAACCCAGGATCTTTTGGGCACCGTTCAGTCGCGTTTCTGTTATTGACACCACATCATTGGCGTACCTTAATTAATTATCCAACCTTAATACCTAATAATCACTTCTAATTAAAAAAAATATAAAAACACGATTTCTACGTCTTCCTTCAAAGACATGATTCTTTTTAAAGATAAATATTTAAAGAGACGCTGTGTTAAAAGGTCCAACTCCCCAATACAACTCCCGAATCAACTTTAATGACATCCAGGGCAATTCATCTCAGACGGGACGTACGAGGGGATACCCAAATAATCGTTACGTATACCCACTGTCAATGCCGATCCCCCTCAATCGTATAGGAAATTAATTCAGGTAATTGGAAAACACGCGCCGTCCCACTTCATTTTATATGGAGACCGTTGAGCAGATGAGGGGAAAAGGTCCGGTCTGCACGATATTGATTTGAGACTTCAAAACTACAAAGTTACAGGAAATACTAAGGGGAAATACTAATCCGTAATTCTCGTACTTAGTCTTAAGTGTCCAATAGGAGGTAGGTCTACCTTTAACAGTTTAAGATATCCTTGTATCAGACAATGATACAGCTGGCAAATTTAAGAGTTTAATTGTGCAAATTAAATAAAACCTGCAGTCCTAAGAGTTAGAATGTGGTGTCTAAAGAAACAGGACGTATTTTTTTCTTCATTTTACATATTGGGAATACAGTTATTACAAATTACTTGTCTGAGCGTCCTAAAAATTGCAATTGAGCACTAAAAATTCACCTTCTCTGTTCCATGTTTGTCTGAACGTCACCACCGCAGACACGTTTCGACTTATCGATTATTTACCACCTATCCAGTTGTAGCGTGATGTTTGACTTTGTAATTGTCGGGCTACTTTGTAGATTAAACATCTGCGTGATTCGATTTGTCTGCATCCGTGACGGGTAACTGCCCCTCTTTAGATCCCTAGACAAATTGATGTTAGGAATGGAATATCTTTCGTAATTTTGGGTAAAAATTAACTCAACCAACATTACAAAATTTTTTTTTTCGTCTTCTGAATGTTTAATCAGAATATGATTATGACATGTCACTTGTGGCCTTCGATGAAAACTTAGTGTAAAAATGTGTGACTAACTAAAAATTACTTACTCACGTGAATATACTTAGAAAAAGCTCTACTAGTTTTGAGCCACTGAGGGACTCTTCTTCATGAGCAGCGTGCGCGATCGCGGCGTCGTCAGTACGCTGCGTGCGCAACCCGCGATTTTTAGTTAATTTAGTTTGTCTCGCTATAGTTATTAAAAAAAAAACAAACTGTGTGATGTTTATTATCACCTCACTGACTATTAAGGGTATATAATATAAAAAGAAAACAAGAGTTTAAACAACATAAGTAAAACGGATCTACTTAAACGGTACGAAGATGAACTTCTTCAGCAATTTAAAGAGCGGATGGAAGCTAGATAAGTTCTGCAAAATTTCCATCCTTTGCCTTTGACAACGCTTGAAGTTTGTAATCTAACTTAGTCCAAGAATTACATGGAATGTCACTAAGCTCATGTAGTTTAAGCTATTTATAGGACGCCTTTATAAGAACAGTTTTACCTCGTGTAGGAAGTAATGAGATTATGTTCTAAAGCTTTGAAGTGTAAGCCTCAGTAAATGAATTTATATCTGAATTATCTGTCCTATGTATACAGGCCTGTTGTGGTAGGATTTTACCATATATTGCCGTTGTTTCTTTTTTATGGAATAAGCCGGTAAACGAGCAGACGGATCACTTGATGGTATGCAATCGGCTTTGCCTATGGACACCTGGAACATTTCAATGAACATTTTAACGTTTTGAAGTACTGTCTGACTACATATGGCCTGGATGTGCTTAAAGTCTAACCCAGCCTGTCCAATGACGTATTATAAAGGATCCAAGGACAGTCTCTAATGTTGTTGTCATTGCTAAAAACTTTTGAATAACCTTATTTGATAAAACAAAACGAATACTCCCAAATTTGACACTAGCGACATCTACACCTGGAAAAACGTAAATGATCCAATTATTTTTGATTTCAGAAGCTCTCTGTGTGTAGGTAAACATAAAAGAAAATTGTATTTATTCATTTTTTTTCTTTCCAGCACCTTGGTTCCATGGAAGATATTCAGGGAGGAGTTGAACAACGTGCATCCCATATCATCTGGTTTGGAGACGATGGCGTTGAAGACCACCATCGATCTCACGTGTAACGACTTTATATCGAATTTTGAATTTGATGTTTTTACGAGGTACGTTGTTGAAATATTTTTTTTGTTGGTAAGTTTTAAATAAATGCGACTTTTTTTGAGAAGGGAAATCAAATTCAATGAGTTCTCCCGCCTTGAGTGAGGCAAGAGGGAGTGTCAGACACGTACTAACCAAAACCACCTCATTCCTACTACGGAGCCCCGGCAACCCGTTAAGTCTTCCGCTACAGAAACGACTAAATTCATTAAATTCATAAATAATTTTTATCATATTAAAACTTAAATTATTTTGCACAGAGCTTATTTTGGCCTTATCTCAATTTACTAGGGTGCTGTTAATATGCATGAACAATATTGCATACTTTGGAAGTATACCTTCTGACACCTTTAGCAACTACATGATATTTTAAAATGTAGCTTTATTTATAATTATGCTTTATTACAAAGAAAGAGAGACGAACCGAGCCATAAGAGCGGTTTGTGCATCTGTAACTCATTCATGAGGCTCCCCACATATCGTGGGTGGACTGTCACCAAAATTAAAACTATCTTGCTGACTCGTTCATGCAAAATGACCACCATTTATATTCCTTTGAATAACGCTGTCAACGTCTGCCTTTGCAAAACGATGATGACCTAAGTTCAAATGACTCATACCTACCTGTAGTTCCATTGACCTCTTGAGTACCACAAATGTAAACAATTTTTATACAAAACTCCCAATGAAGAGTTTTCGATAACGGCTTTGCTCTTGATATCGAATTTGTCAATCAATGACGGTGTTCGCAACATCAGAGGCGCTAGTGTAGCTTTTGGTCTATTGTCCAACAGTATGCTTACTGTTAAGCGATTTTGCTGTTGATATATCTTTCATTACATTAGACCAACACCAAGGTGTCCTTGTACCCTTAAAAAAACTCCCTAACATTCTGGCGTGGTGTTAAAATCAACGCTGTGGACTCGGAGTCTTCGTGCCCGGGCTACAGCATTAAGCTGAGCTCCAGCCTTTTGCACTGCGAACATCATGAACTTATTTTTGAGTACTTGTATTTTTGTTTGCGTGTGTGTCGTGGCGTAATAGTCGGTTTTTCTGTCTTTCTTTCTTTCTATCTTTCATATTTTGACTCCAAGATGGTAAGCGATATTTCGACGACATAAGAAAACGATTTAGTATGAAAATAATATTGTTCTTGTATTTAGCCTTCCATTCTAATATCTCCCCATTGAATTCCAGATTATTCCAACCGTGGAGTACGTTACTCCGAAACTGGCAACTGTTAGCGGTCACGCATCCAGGATATGTGGCGTTTTTAACGTACGACGAGGTCAAGGCGAGGCTCCAGAAGTATATACACAGGGCTGGCAGTTATGTGTTTAGGTAAGGTCCTGGTTTTATGAGTAACGTGTATAATGAAAGTAAATTTCTACTTTAAATAATAATTCACCTTAATAATTAGTGGTCGACCTCAGTTTTGGACCTAAAGTACATAAAACTAATGTACCTCTAATACACCTACCGATCACAATCTAAATATATTCGTAAAAATATGAAACTCTGTTATGTTGGTGGATTACCAAATTATAGTCGGATTTATTTTACTTGGATTTATTATAATAATGTGCAGATCGCACGACGTGTACACACACTGAGTATGACGGGTAGACAGCGACATTATTGACGAGTGTCCTACCTTATATAACACTTTATAGTGAGGGGGCTACTACTTACACCTCTATTACACCGGACTAGTACAAAAAAACGTGTTCCATTGTATCTTGGAAGTAACATGACGTATTTTTAAATTATATCTTAACAATTTCCATCTCAATCTAACCAGGTTATCATGTACGCGGCTCGGCCAATGGGCGATAGGCTACGTGACGGTGGACGGAGAGATCCTTCAGACGATACCCCAGAACAAGAGCTTAGTACAAGCTTTATTAGATGGATATAGAGAGGGATTGTAAGTATTGCATTATTTCTATGCTTTCCTAGTATTTTGATCAGGCGTCAAACAAGCGAATCACCTGATGGTAAGCAGTTGTCATCCATTAAAGTTGTTAGGTCGACTGGGCCTTTAATAGCCTTACTCGAATGCATCTCAAAAATATTTTCAACTAGCGATCCGCCCCGGCTTCGCACGGGTGCGATATGCATTTATTATACATAGTAACCTTCCTTAAGAATCCCTCTATCTATTTAAAAAAAAGCGCATCAAAATCCATTGCGTAGTTTTAAAGATCTAAGCATACATAGGGACAGACAGACAGCGGATAGCGACTTTGTTTTATACTATGTAGTGATGGACAGTAACATAGGATGACTTATAAATGTATGTGTAGCAAAAGCGCAGCTGAAATCGCAGCTAGGCAGGTGCGATGCAGTATTTCTGGTCCGCTAAATTTGAGAGATTTAAATGAGACTTTTTCCTAATATGTCTATTGGATATAACCTTGTCTCTCACGTTCTGTGTAGATATAGTTATACAGATTCCAAGGGAGTTTACCTTTCGACTAATAAAACGATTCAAATTTCCTTTCAGTTACCTTTACCCGGACGGTCGGGACGTGAACCCGGACCTCAGCAGTGCAATCATATCACCAGCCGAAGATCATATCACTGTAACACAGGAACAGTACGAGTTGTATTGTGAAATGGGTCAGTATTACAACCAATAGAAAGTCACCGTCCTATAACCGCAGATATCGTAAGAGTCGACTAACGTGGCAGTTTAAACAGTTCAAGTTTATAATAGTGCAGTCCCTGTCTAATGGGAAGTCTCTTACGTCCAGTTTCTATAACCTATCTATCATGAGCTCCATACAAAATGTGTCAAAATTCTATCTCTAGTAAGAAAATCTACAGATAGATAGGTTTTAGAAACTGGACGTAAGAGACTTCCCATTAGACAGGGACTGCACTATTATAAACTTGAACTGTTTAAACTGCCACGTTGAACTCGTGTTGCCCAGAGTGGCGATTATGGTAAAACCTCTCTCATGCAGTGATCTTTTTCTATTTCCAAAATCTTAAGCTGGTAGCTATAGTTAAATCCTTTAAAAAATTAAACAATTGACTGCACGGTGGGCGCGGTGACTGCGTTACCGGCTGCCTCGCAACGTGTAGCGTGTTCGATTCCCACACGGAGCTCTTTGTGTGATCCACAAATAGTTGTTTCGGGTCTGGGTGTCGTGTGTATGTGAACTTGTATGTTTGTAAACGCACCCACGACGGCTTTAAAAATTGATAAAAAATGAGTTGATTAATATTGCTAACAGTAAAGTGATTCATAAGTAGTAGACTCACGTCACTACTCTCAACATACTATTATTAACGAATATCATATATTTTTCCCAATTGCAGGTAGCACGTTCCAATTATGTAAAATTTGCGCGGAAAACGACAAGGACATCAGGATAGAACCCTGTGGGCATCTACTATGTACACCCTGCTTAACTGCGTGGCAAATTGTGAGTTAAAATAACTTTGTGACCCCCTAAAAATGCCCTTTTCAGTACCTTATACCTTATTAAAATTTTATATATACTTTCTAAGATAAATTAGACATTAGTGCTATGGTGAAGGAAAACATCGCTAGAAAACGGACGTTCAATTTAAAATTATAAGATTGAAATCGCCAAACCGCTTTGAACGAGTGTGGTGATTAAAACTAATATCTTCTCCGTGTAAGAAGAAGTCTTAGCTCTTCAGTGGGCACATATAGGCTGATGATGATGATCATATCTATGCTTTATGTTATTTCAGGATTCGGAAGGTCAAGGTTGTCCATTCTGTCGAGCAGAGATCAAAGGGACTGAGCAGGTCGTAGTGGACGCGTTTGTACCACCACGCCCGCCTAACACAACGTCAGATAAGTAAGTAAATACTACATTTATAATGGCACAGAGATAATGTTATAAGATTTATATTATAACTTTCGTGAGACACTAGATGTATTATTATGTTTTGCGACTTATGCCGGAATACTGAAACGGTACTCAATTTTAAGTCGTGCTCAAATATCGTGCCATTTCTGTCATTTTACAAAGAATTTGTAGAGATACAACTATACTTAAGCACGACTTAAAATTGAGTAGCGTTTCAGTATTCCGACATAACTCACGTAATTCAACCCATGCTAGGCTCGTATTCATGAGCAGCATTCCACGAGTACGCGTTCGACGCTCTGATTGGCCGGCTTCAATGAACCAACCAATCAGAGCGCCGGACGGCGTCTCATTTACTATATACATATACTTTAAACAAAAAAGAAACTCGTACTAAGGCCTTTGAAACTAGTCGCGTTCCTCGTTAAATTAAGCCGAAATACCTAATAATTAAGATTTAAAATTGAAAAGCATAAAAATCTATAAAAAGTTTTTGCGCAATGTTTGCGCAGGTTTGCGCAGAACGTAGGTTCTCAATTTCATCTAAATGTTGTTATAGTAATATTGGAAATTTAAATTTTCTATCAGGATAATTTGAACAAGTATTAGCTAACTGGTATAAAATCTAACTAATAAGTATCTGTTCGTTACAGAAACACAAAGACTGCAGTAAAACCGGTGTCTTCAAATTCATCCGGTTCTTCCGGATCGTCCGGTTGCAATGGTTCCAGTAAGTTATTCCTTATTTATCTACTTTAATCACTTGCGTCCTAATACTGAAAGGCTACTCAATTTTAAATTGTACTTAATATGCCATCTCTGTCATTTTACATAGAATTTGTAGAGACAGAACTATATTTAAATCCATATAATATATCCCCCCAAGCTGTCACCGGTGACAATCCGGTCCTGGCGAATTCTTGCCGTTGCATTGACAGTCCCAAATGGAAATTAGGTAGTTTCCAGGGTATTAAAAAAACTAATTAGTCTCTCAGTTAGATAATCAGATATATTTTTTTATTTTCTCGTATTAAGTTAAATTAAATAAAATGGCGTTAAGTTTAGGAGTGGGAGGTTGTTACGTCATAACGTGCTACTAAATGTGGCACGCTGTGACGTCACGATATTTCAAATTAATTTTGTGATTATCGTCGAATGTAATTAATTTTGTGAGAAAAGAAAAAAACACGTGTCCAAAGTTTTAAATTAATGTACTAAAAGGACATTAAAATCTAATTTAAGAAACTTTTCTATTGTAATAGAAATATTATAAATCTGAAAGTGAGTTTGTGTGTTTGTTCCACCTTCACGCCGTAACTACTCAACCGATTGCTTTGAATTTTTGCAGACGTAAAGTTAGAAGTCCGGATTAAATAATAGGGTACTTTTTAACCCGGAAAAAATTGATATTCCCGAGGAAAAACAAAAGTATTGGTATAGATGGCGCTGTGTGTATTGGTATATGTCACATAGGCTACTTTTTATTCTTTTGTGACGCGAGCGAAGCCGCGGGTAAAAGCTAGTAATAAATAACTTGTTTCTTTCGTACTAGGTGTGGACGTGACAATATCAGGCAGTGCAAACGGCTGGGCGTCAAGAAACACAACATTCAACGGACTCACAGATGACATTGACGATGCCGAGGTAAATATTACAATAAATAACCTTACCGCTTAAAACATAAGGTCTCATTTTATTTATTCAAAGTGATTAGCTATGGAAATGTCCTTCATTCATTCATTACATTCAAAAGCAGTTCGAAGTCCATCAAAAAATAAAAATAGATAAATACATACGCCAAATCGATAATACAGATAATACAGATTAAAATGCAGTATTTTTATCAAATATATTATCTGTGTACCTAAAAGTTGAATGAAAAACATTGCACTGTTCCCCATCGATCATATATTTGACATTATCGCACACAAGTGCTCACGTACTTAAGATATTTTACGTTCAGATAAAACTACATGAATGAAATGATCATATCAAATTTTTTTAAATATTTTTTTTCTCTATATTGACTTGATTATAATCTTTTTGGAGTTTTTGGAACGGAAATCCGAAATAGGTTTTGATTGGATATCGCGATCGGCTGATAAGTTTTGACTTATCGTCGGTTATTGCGTAGAACATGTATTGCGTATTTAGTTTTTCTAGGGTTATATTTAATTTATTGATCTTGATATACATATAGTCGTTCTGGTTTAAAATTAGATCAAAAGTGGTATCATTAGAACATACCAAACAATCAATTGTCATTAACTAAAAATCGCAGGTTACTCACGTGCATATACTGGGAAGCTACTAGTTTCGAACTATCGCCGCGACCGCGCACGCTGCTCATGAGGAAGAACCCCTCTGTGGTTCGAAACTAGTAGAGCTTTTCTCAGTATATTCACGTGAGTAACCAGCGATTTTTAGTTAATTTAGTATGTCTCACGATAGTCATAATCAATTGTCATTATTTTATTCTCTACTAGCTGAGCCGGCAAACGTCGTCCGGTCTAAAAATTTCATTTTTCTATCCTTTTAAACCTTCCATGGACTTCCACGAACATTTCAAGATCATAATTTAAACCAATCGGTTCAGCAGTTTTTTAAATTTTAGCGAGACTAAAAAACGGGAATGCATTTTTATTTATATAGATTTAAACTTGATTTTATGTATTTTCTAACTTTATCCAGCGCAGGATTTGCCCGCGTTAACCGAATAAATAATAATAATCATGGGTTATTTCATGGGTTTAGTAGTTTATGTATAGAAAGGTACATACATTAATTTCATAATATGAAGTATATCCAACCTTTTTGCTCCAATTTTGTCCAGAATAGCTTAAACTTTACCTTTTAATACGTATAATAAAATCACAGTGTTGTTTTATAGTGTTTAGCATGGTGTGCATTTTGTTTGACCGTGTGGCATGTATTGTCGTCCTAAGCTTGCATCTATGCGTTTCGTACCATTTATGTTATTTATAATATCATTTATTATGAATACAGTTGATTGGTTGACTGTCACTGTGCAATATTTAACAATAAATATATCATGGCTTTGTCGAAGGAAAAATGCCGCCGCCATGAAAAATCTAAAATTGAAAACGCAACTTCATTGTTTTCGTTAAAGAAAGAAATGTTCAAGAAAAGATTGTCTTGTTAAGAAGCTGGCAACACAGTTGGTAACTCGTCTAGTATTATGGGTGTGGGCGGGGCTGATTGCTTAACACGTTAACCGCCGCGTAGGTCACCGGTGACCTACTTTAGCGAAGGATTTGCCGATTGATTTTAAGGAATAGGGCGGCATACGGGTAGGCTGATTACCTGATGGTAAGCAATCAACACTACCTTTGAACTGAGACTTGAGGATTGAGGATTTACGTGTAGTAAATGCGTTACTGGTCATTTGGGGGATACGGCTTGTAGAATTGGGGATAGATGGCATGCTTCGGCACGAATGGGCCGGCTCGACCGGAGTGATACCACGGCCTCACAGAAAACCGAAGTGAAGCAACGCTTGCGTTGTGTTTCTTCGTGTGAGTGAAGTTACTGGCCCAATTACTCTCCCCTTCCCCAATCTCCCCAATTCCTGAATCCCCTATGATCCTCAAACTCCTAATCCCCAAAAGGCCGGTAACGCACTTGTAAAGCCTCTGGTGTTCCAGGTGTCCATTGGCGACGCCGATTGCTTACATCAGGTGACCCGCCTGCCCGTTTATCGGCTTTGCCATATAAAAAAGGTTTCATACCGGGATTTTTTTAAAAGTTCTAGTGACAGTCAACCAAATCATGCATGCGACCACACAAGAACATAATCATTGTTTGTTTTGCAGATACAACGACGGAAATCACCGCATGCTTAGCTTGTCCGGGTAGTTTATTTGCTTGTCTACGCGCCAAGGAAACATTACATTCCTCTTTGTTTGTCACTTTTTGTTTTATTGTATCTGTACTGTATTGTTGATTTTGTTTTTTTGTTGTTCCAAAATGGGCGTGGTTTGGTCTTGAATGTATTGAGTTGCGTTGCTTTTTTCGTTTGTTACGGCTCGCCATTTATTCTAAATGGATACATATAAAGTCATTTCTGAGCTTCTTTCCTTTTTTCTTAGATATCGGTACTTCTAGCATGCTATAATAGATACTTAAAAAATGTATTCAGTTTCTCATGCAAAATTTTTATCTTAAGCAAACAGCTTCACTTTTTTTGTTGACATTCAAAAGTGGCCTCTCTGGTCTAATTGAAATGAATGATTTTGACTTTGACTATAAGTAATAGTGTCTTCAAAATACAATTCGTCCAAGCCCCGCCCATTTCGTAACGCTAGCTTTAGTGTTGTGTCGCATGATATTTTGTGAATGTTATTATTTTGGGTGTAACATGTTCAATATTTGGTGGGTATCGCCTGTGATTATATTTTACAAAATAAATATTTAATTGTTTAAGTACCGATTATTTATTACTTCTAAGGAACAGAGTTGTCCTCATTATATTGGCTGCAGCGACTATCAAACTTATATCAATTCAGATAAAATTAAAAATCGTTTGACAGAACGGTAAATGAAGTTTGTTAAAATGTCTCTTATGTTATTTTGATGGAGATAGGGTGGGATTGTGATAGCGAAATAACAAATTATTATACAAATTACTACAATAATAATTAACCGAACTTGTTCATATAAAAGTTATCTCTAAACATTGGATATAACATCTAAAATAAAGGTGGATAATAGAGAACACCAGTGTCTTCTTGATTGTGTATGTTTATCAACTATTTAGTTGGTTCGAAAAAAATTTCACATATATTTTTGATTTTAAAAATTTCCTAGTCATAGACAATGGACTTTAGTATTGTTTCCATTTTTACATAAGAATCTTAACTAATGAAAATAGAGGTCACAACATGTCCACTTCTATCGATTCTATCTATCAATGTTTAACCTTATAAAATCAGTAAATGTACTATCCAACTATTCTTGACTTATCTCTAAGTTTCCTATTTTTTAAAGATAGCTAAAATCCTAATAAAGTTCGTCAACACAGAATAGGGTTCCTAAATTTTATTTTAATGTCCGTCTGGTACATTAATTTAAAACTTTAGATATGTATTTTTTCTTTTCTCACAACATTAAATACTTTCAACGATATATTAATTTGAAATATCTTGTGACGTCACAGCGTGTCACGTTTAGTGGCACGTTATGACGTAACGACCTTCCACTCCTAAACTTAGCGCCATCTTAATACGAGAAAATAAAAAAATACGTGTCTAATATTTTTTCTTTATCTAACCGACGGACTAATTAAATTTTAACTTTTGATACCCTGGAAACTATCCAATTGGCGAAGAAATCACAATTTTAGTATATTCGCTATAACAACTTCACTCTAATCATATTTTCTTAGCACAATTGTAGCATCATTTCTATAGGACTTGTGTTACAGCTTCAGCACTGTTTTGTCCTGTGATAAAGTGATTTTTTGCGTTATTTTACTATCAGTAGGTACCTAATTTCTTTAACAGTATCCGTTTTATTTGTAGATAGAAGATCTATGTGTAATTTTCACATAAAATTTAATACAATAGGGGTGCTTTTTGCACGCAGTCTCTTATGTGTAGGAAGCCCATAGTGTAGCAGTGGATTGTCTGATGTTGAAGGGTGCTTTTTGACAGGACCTCATAATGAGGTCTATATTAAAAGACATATTTTATGAATTGAAAGGGAATACTTACTGTATGTGACGTTGTAGTTTTTTCTATGCCATAATTATTAATGAAATTTTTATTACAAAAGAAAAATAATTTCTTAATAACAAATCAATGAAATTACGCAAAAATGCACTTTGTTACTATAAATTTTAGTATTATAATGACTCGATACTGAATAGCGTTATACGTTAAATAGTTAATAACATTTTTTATTTTCATTTTAAAACGTATAAAAGTCACTTACAATTGAATGCGATTTGTAATATCTTTCTTTATGCTTGTTACAAAAGTGGTATGAAATAGTTGCAATTTTTATGTTTTTTTCCAAACAAGACCTTGTTAGCCAGTCAAGCCATTGATGACAATAATGCTTACGCTAACCTTAGGCTTATTGTCCACGATGCGTTATTTAACCCTTTGAGTACCGTCATTATAGACACAATTGTCCTCGCGGTGTTTGACAGTTTAAAAAATGCATGCAACCTACAAATGAAGTTATGTGGATTTGTATGCCGAATGAGTGACGCAAAGTTGCCGCTTTGTGGACAGTTTTTATTGTTTCTAAACGAGACGCAAGCGTTTGTCATTAGTAGGTCGCCTATTGTCATTTGTAAGTTGCATGCATTCGTCCAAATACGCGTCGTGGACGTGGCTTAGGGCAAGTTTGTTTTACGTTTAGCGAGATCGCCGATCGTTCGACGCTCTGATTGGCCGATTCCAATGACCCAACCTACCTAGCCCCCAGTAAGCCTAAGACCTATCGCCACATGTTAAGTGCAAACATTAAAAGCTTTTAGAATTCAAAACTCTTTATTACATAGTCATGTCACTTTTGTAAACAACAAAATGCAATACGTATTGCTATAAAATTAAGATTCATTTTTGTTTGTCTTAAATAAATTATTATCTACACATTGCTCATGAATTTTCAAAAAACTTGCACTTAATGCAATAGTATTAACTTAATATTTAATTGAACTATTTATATAGAATATACATAGATAAACCTGTGGCTTTTCCAGTTTGTAAATATAATTAAATATAGATTTTGAAAATTTTGAAGTTAGTATAATTTGTTTTGTTTTGGAAATAAATTCCATTTTTATTTTAGGATTTAAAGACTGCTTTGTATCGCAGAAGTTAAAGTACGTTCAGCTTGTATTTATCTAATGAATCTGAGTATTATTATTAAGTTCGGGTTCTGTACATATTTCTATTTAAATATAAAGCTTGATGGTTTCAGAATCATGCTTAGGGAACTCTAAATAGTTGGTTTTCTCTGTCGTTGTTCGTATTAGCAAAATCAATTATTATGAAATATTTAATTCGCAACATTTTCTTAAGTTTACGCTTAGCTCTTATTATATTGACTTAAGCAATAATTTAATTATTACTATTAATTATTCTTATGACGATTTAATGATTTTATTTATTTTTAAGTGTATTTTTTATGTTGAAAATATACGCTTGGTGATATGTGCTTTGTGTTTTTTTTCTGTTATAGTGTTTTCTAGCATGATAAATATGCATGCAAGAACGTATATTTTAGCTCATGAAATATAGTAATCTATAAACAATTGTTTGTTCGGTTAATTTAATAAAACTACTAGAGCATAATTTGTTAATGCATGGTTTTCAATTAGGTACTTTATAAATTAGGCCTATAACTTTAGTAGGTCTATTTTGTCATACTTTAAAGTAGTGAATTTAAAGTTGTTGACTGTATTATTATTCGCTCAGCTCGCATTTACTAGCACGAAATCATAAAACTAGAAAACTTCATGAATTATTTAGTTTTAAATTAATAATTGGTCATGGCTTATGGTGACTGGCATTCCAAAGACTGAATTTCAATTAAGTATGATTTGGGAACTGATTTTATTTTCACGGATTTTACATCTTTGGTATAGTCATATTTGATTGCATGGTTGGGCAAGCGGCTACTGCGCTGGTGTCGCGGATTCGATTCCCACACAGAGCAACCGTTTGTATGATTCACGCACCAACAATGCAGGAGAAAATTATAGTGTTGGGAAATATAAAAAAAAAATTCTAAAAGCTGATTTTGAGGCATGTGATGATCCTTATTACTTCTATACTTTACTACATCGCCTACGGGAAACAAGAACCAAAACACATACCATTCTTCCAACAGGATTGGGCAGAATTCAACGCAGCCACCTCCACAATAGACGCTTTGAGGCCATCAGTGCGATCCCCGGGCGCTTCGCCCCGCCATAGCCCGAGGGCGCCGCGTAGGGCTCCGCAACCCAATGAAAATGCGTATGGGGAATTACGGGCGCCCCCATTACCGCCTAGGAAGAGCCTGTCTCCGGCAGAACCTGCTATCGTCGCTGCGTCTAGTGTTCAAGATATAGCAGCGGCCAGTAGCGCTCATAGTAAGTACCTGTACTCCTTTTGAGTTCTTTATTTGGCTGCGCGACGTTACACGCACGCTGCTGATCAATAAGAGGCCCGGTGTGACTTGAAACTGGTAGAGCTTCTCGATTAATTCACGCGAGTAAGTTGGTGATTTCAATTAATTTAATTTACCCATACTCTGATCTGAATAACATTGAATATTTAAGAAAACCTTTTTCGCTCCGTTTAAGCGATTTTCACTTTTATTACGTAGGTGGAATGACATAAAGGCGCAGTATATCGTTGGTTTTGCTTTTAATACCATCCTTATGCCTGCGGAATAGGTATTAAAATCGGTTAAACAGAGAATTGGGTACTTGCCAACTAGTCAAATTCAACACTTTTTTTCGAACTGTCAAAAACGACAGTTTTTTATGAATTTTGTACGAGATTGTGCATTGTGACGTCACGTTTTTTTAGCGTCAAACAGCATACTTATTTATTAAAAATTTGCTGGAAAGTACTAAATTTAAGTTCGTTACCAATTACTGTAAGTGTGATTATTTTTTAATATTTGATTGTATTGAACAGTCGAAATAATTTATTTTTGATTAAGGCAAGTACCCAATTAATAGCCTTTAAAATTTTAGGCATAATAGATGAAAATGCCTCCAAAACTAAACTTCTTTCATATATATCATTCTCATCAATTTAAAATCTGAACTCTCCTCTTCAGCGGAGCCACGAAGACGATCCTCATTAGAACCGGAGCCTGACTCCCGACACCGGCTCACCTCCATCATTACAGGCTCCACGGAAACCATTACAGGGGTCATTGACACCAGACATGAGGTTAGTTTAATTTGAACCTTATTTTTACGTCGAGAATGACTATATTTCTTTATGCAAAACTAAAATGTGAATGGAAATTGTATGTTTCGATCTCATTAAAACTAAAAACTCTTTGAATTTTTAACGTAACATACTTAAGAAAAAAAGAAAATTAATAATCGATTATCGCTTTCAGGTGCCACCTGACCCAAGGGCCTTTGAAAAACCCCGACGAGCCTGCACACCGCAGTCAAATAGTCGTCCCCTTCCCGCACCCCCGCCCGAACGACCCGCAGAAACCCCCACTCCCACCGAACCCAAACCAGAGCGACATCTACCGGACAACAGATACAATAACGAAAGACAAGAACTCCCAAACAGACAGGAAAGACCACCAGATAACCGACATCCCCCAAATCCCCCCGAAAATAGGCACCCAGTCCCCGAAAATAGGCACCCAGTCCCCGAAAATAGACACCCAGTGCCCGAAAACAGGCACCCAGTCCCCGAAAACAGGCCAAATGACAGACACGTGCCAGAACGTCACCAAGAAAATAGGCCAGAGAGGATGGAGAGGCAAGACCGCCATATCCCCACCCCAGAGAGGCAAGAAAGACATATACAAGACAACAGACACGAGATCCGAGTCATGGATAACAGATCAGAAAGGCACATTGCTCCAATTGATAAATCGGAACGACATTTGCCTCTATCAGATTCCCGGCATACGGATTTCCGTCTACCTCCAGAAAGACCGCCGGAGAAACCTGATAGAATTATTGAATCTAGGAGTAGTTTTGATCGGGAAACTAGGCTTGAGAATAGGGCACCGCCCAGGCAAAGGTCCTTGCCTGCGACGACAAGTGGGAGCGTCGACCAGCCTACGAAGTCCACTACAATGCCTAAGTTCCCCTCAGAAGATATAAAAGACCCACCGTATGAAAATGTGGCTGTGGAGAAGAATGAATTGGCTGTAGCACGTAAGTAGATCATTATTTCTGCTCTTTTTTATGGCTATAAATGTTAAGTATTCCAAGTTTAGTAAAGAAAATTGGACGTTCCTTTTAAAAAATAACCGAGGCAATTTTTTACCGCGTAGTTTTGTATAACTGAAATCTGCGATTATGTCCTTGACTAATTTTAATACAATGAAATTTTACAAGTCTAAAAAGATTAATTTTGTAAATATTATTGCATTGTGCAATATGGATTCGTTTCAAACGCGATTTTATTATCTTATTCACATCATTTGAATCGAGTTTGTTGTCTTATTGAAAACCTCTTTTCAATTGACATTGACTTCACATAAGCTTACGTACTTTGAACTCACATCTAACAGAATAATTGTTTGATTCCAGCTAAAAAAATCAACCCGCTCACGCACGACAAACACGGACGGAAATACGGCGACAATGTGTCGTATGAAAACATAAATTTAGATTATATCGCTCGTTTGGTAGGTGAGGGGTACCCAAAAGACATCGTGGTACGCGCATTGGGCATCACACGTAATGATCTGGAAATGGCCTGCGATATACTACATGAGTTTGGATCTAAAGTACCTAATAAGTGTTAAACGTAGATAGTTTGTTCTTTAAATTGGGCGTTTCGTAAAGTATGTTGAGGTTTATATCATGATTGCTTGTAATTTTTTGTCTTTATCGTCTTATTTATTCATATTCATAATTGCCACTAATGAGAGTTAAGGTCTTATCTCTGTGTTGGGGAAATCAATAATGCGTTTTGCATTATGATATTATCATTTATACCACGGATCTTTTTTTGAGTGGAGGAAATCATCCAATGACTTCTCCCGCCCGGGCGAGGTGAGAAAGAGTGTCAGACTCTTACTGACTTAAAACCACCCCGTTCCTCTTTCTGCACTTCGAGCCGGAGCCCCGGCACCTGTTTAGTCCCTCGCAGCTCCGTAATAGCACAGACCTACCACATGGGTTTAATAATAAACTGTATAAATATTAGAATTTATTATATCTTGGATGTATACGACATGCATGACAAACCTCAGCATACTTCATAAAATATCCGCATAACAGGTTTAGTAATTCGTACCTTATGAACTAAATATAAGTCTGATTTTACCGTGTACATATTTCAGTGTCATCGTTTGTTTATCTTAGAAAAATAATTCTTATAATGCTATACATAGCCACTATTTCACTTTGAGCAATAGCTGAGATAATAATCCTATAGTGTATAACGCTTGATACGGGTCTATCGTAATTAAAGCAGAAGTTTTTTAACAGGTTTAAGTCGATTTTGCGCTGACTAGATGGCGCTGGTGGTGTTTAAAGTCATAGGCCAAATTAGTTGTCCCAAGTTTACTCACTATTGACTTGATATTGGCCAATCGACCTCAAACTGCGCTAGCGCCGCTAGTGGCGCCATGAATACAATCTATAAGAAAAGCATTGAAGAAAATATCATTGAATTATTATAATTCTAATGGCAGTAAAATACGTTAAATCTTTATTAGAATAATAAAAAAAATGTCACTACACTTGAATTTGTTAAACAAACCATCTTACTATTAAATTATAAGAAAAAAAAGTTCTATTAAAATAAAAAGTAATTTTAATAGTTAATAATTTATTAGTACAGACCAGCATATCAAACTAACCTTGAATGTCAAATTTATTTAATGTATTTACGGCTTTATTACAGAAGATTAAGGTTTGAAGTCTATTTGACAGATGGTAGTAAGTTTATACGCTGGTCTATGTACTATTGTAACACCGTACGTGTTTGCTAATCGTTATAGCATAATAGATGTCATTGTCCGGTCAATGTTGACATTTTTGACATATACGTATCCGACGGGCTAATCAACGATTAGCTACTTTGATGAATTTTTAATGTTAATTATTAATATTTATATATAACATTTGCCGGATAATGAACATTGCATTATTAGCTCGTAATATCAGTAATTCGTTTTGTGCGTCAGCCATTTTACTTATGGACGCAAATGGCGGTCAGCCTGTCACATTGACAGATGTCAACACGGGTAGTGTTCAATTATGTCATTAATCATCTACTAATTGAGCAAGCTGTCTTTGAAAAAAATCTAAAATCGTGTGATAGTATTATAGATTAATAAATAAAATTATTTTTAAGGCACATTTAATGTATTTATTTCGCATCATTTTAGTGACAGTAAAACATTTTAATTCCAATTGTTTTTAATCAGTATTCATTTTAACTCAATATATTTTTCATTAATTAATAAAATAATTATAATAAATGCTTTGTAAATAGTCACTTGTATGAATAAATATTGCCTATATTTTCATATAAAATCGCTCTCATAATGTTTACTTAATAGTGGTTCATATAGAATATATTTTTTCATATTTACGTCATATGTGTGTGGGATAATACAAATTTTGACACTTCGACTTATGACACTTGCAATATTTAATGTCTAGACTACTACTTAATATTGTTGATGTAAATAATAATTAATATTTATATTTTTCTTTTCGAAAAAAAAACTCGTACATGTTGCATTGATCTTCCTTTTTGGTATAATATTAGAAAAAAAAATGATGTAACTAGTTTGATAAGTTTTTACTTAGAAAAAAAACAAATTCTTTTTGAAATTCGAAGAGCTTACAACGGCACCAACGTTTCCTGATAATTATTGTTCTTCGTATTTTTCTATATGAAAACATTTTGTAAAAGTGCAATTTTTCTAATTCGTCTTTTCCTTTTTTATATTGCTTATACAAAACTGTAGTGGCAGTCCCGACAGTACTAACGATAAAAATCAATCGCTATGACAGTTTCAATAATAGATTTTCAAGCTTATTCTTTTGAAATAAAGTTGGGATTTTATTGATGGAATGTTGTCTTAGCAAGAGATCGTTATAATTGTCGAGACTCCCAGCTCTAAGTGAACTGCTTAAAACTTTAATAATTACGCGTTTTTTTTATATAAAATGTTCATATTCTTTTTTATTTGACCTCTTGACGGTTGATTTTCAACTGATCTTTACGCAGTTTAGTAAGACAGTGTGCTTAGTGAATGACTTGACTGAATTTTTAGGTTATAATCTATCTAGTCTTAATATTTCACTATTTTGCAAGTTTCATTAATACTTCGTTTATTATAGTTAATTAAATGACGCTATACATTGTAATTAAAGCCAGTAATGTAACATCTGTAATGAATAGTTTGTAGTACCCAAAATGATAGGTACCATTTAATTATGAGTATACATATCCACCATTCTACTAGTCAAATTCACTTTTTCTATAAAAATGTTCTGCGGTTTTAGCGTATACATTTTTATTTAAAAATGTGTGGTGTTAGTATTTTGTGATTAACGAGTTGTGTGTACATTTTATTATTTAACATGATATAATTTATCATCTTTAATTAAACTTGAATATTCATAAACTTTCCATTATCATTTTTAAATTATGAAATGTACACTGACTTACTTTGTAATTCTCTTAAAACTTAAATTATCGAATACGCAAGCTGTAATAATCATTTCCTTTCATTTAAAAAGCGCGTATCGCTTATTATTTTAATTATATACTACAAAATGATTAGTAAATATTTATATTTAGTTATAATTGTTTATAATCTCATGGATATCACAAAAAATATAGTTGAAGTAGAACAAAATTGTCATAAATATAATAATAAACCTTTGTTATTATTACCTATTAATAAAAATATTTTTGCATCGAAAATTGTCTCAAAATGTTAGAAAATCATCTAAATGTTGCCGTATTTTTATATAATTTCAAACTCTGATTTAATGAAATGAAAATGTTTAGACTTGTACTAAGTTTATGCAAGAAATTGTCTAAAAATTAGTAGAATTTCATATCATGGGACAATATTGCGGTTGCCATAGTGAATAAATTAAAAACCTTCATGTACAACACTTTTACCAGTGTTAATTGTTACTGGAAAATGTTATTATTATGGAAACCTGATGTTAAGGCATAGAGACATTTGTAGGAAATTGACAATTTAGAAATTATTTATAAAAAAAATTCTTTGATAATTAATTTCTTCATTTACTATGACTGTTGAATTCAGTATCGTAATTCACTTTGTAAAGTATCGCTTGACTATTATGACAGCTGTCAAATTTTACCACAGAGGCTCAAAAAATATAGAGTGTTAAGTAAAATGTCAAGCGATATTTTGCACAGATAAAATAATGAAAAATTATATGTTGTCTGAAATAGTTCTGTTTTATGTTTTTAACGGAAGTTGAATGATTATTTTGTTATTAGTTTGTTTTATTCGCGTTTCACATTGATGTTATTTTTGGTGGATTGTATGAATTAAAATAGAAATGTAAAAACATAATAATATTGTTATTGTATAAAATTCCAGAAGGAATGGATTGATGATGAAAATTGTGAATTATTTTTTTTAAACACGCCATCTATCGGATGTATTGTCAACGGAATGTTTTGGGGAGGCTACGTTTTGTTTTACGCTTTAGTAAAAATACGTTGCTAAATATATTTAAGTAAAATTACGTTTGTTTTTATTTAATGATATATCCGTATTTTATTCGTATTTTAAAATATATTGTCAGCCTCTTTGGCTAAGTGGTCGCAAGTGCGACAGCCCGGCATGGGGTCTCAGGTTCGATTCCCGGGTTGGGCAAAATATTACCCATTTTTTTTAAATTATCAGCATTAGCACGGAGTCTGAAATTGTGCCCGGTATATGTCAATTAGCTCACCCCCTATTACATGGGACTCATAACATCTATAGTGAAAAGTGAGTGTTACATTGTTCAGTGGCATTAAGTGCCGTAATGTGATCCTCTGCCTTTCCCTTCGGGGATAAAAGGCGTGATGTTATATTATGTTTCAAATATTTTCTACAAAAAGAACTGAAAATATTTAATGTTCTTAACCATTTAGCCATTATTTCACCACAATACATATGTAGATCCAAGAAAAAGTAATAAAAAATTGAAGAAAAAATTATATACATAATCACAGCCATGTATGCCAGGCATTGTACACGAGTCGTTTTATCAACAAAGTATCTAAGTGCATTGATTGAATAACAATTTTCTTCTATTTTTACGACTTCATCCATCACTTGATATTAAACGCCATAGCAAATGTTTGACTCCAGTTAAACAGAATTAAAACTCAAGATGGTCTTATAAATAAACCAAAAATGCATTGTATTCTGCTAGGCTTCTTAATTTTTAAGGTAAGCAGATACATTCCTTGTTATTTTTTTAAGGAATACTATGGTCATCGTTTTAAAAACGGCTACAATATTTTAATTTCCTTTCCTTAAAATAAGGCTTGTTTGTTTGTTTGTTTGAACGCGCTCATCTCGGGAACTACTGGTTCGATTTGAAAAGTCCTCTTTGTGTTGCATAGTTTATCTATTGAGGCTATAGACTATTAAAACACACACTACGACCAATAGGCGCCAAGTTGAGTGGGTGGAACCGCGCGAAAGTAGTTAGTAAATTATAAATTAGAAAAGTGGATACTAGGTATCTAAACTGGTTAATTTGGAGGACCTAAGCCCATGTCACGGAGAACCTAACGGGT